TTCTCTGTGAGAACCAAGGTCATGGGAGGAGGCCATTCTTGCCATGAGAGCTTTTCAGTGGCCTCTGCTTTGGCCCCACCACCCTTGGCCATTCAGGTAAATCAGAGAGGTCAGGGGAGAGTCCAGGTATGAGTGTTTCGGTCTGCTCAGGGGCAGCCAGGCTGAGCCTGCCTTCTGAGCCAGTGAACCTCACGTGCTGCTGGAGTCAGGGCTCTTGCTAACTGGGAGGCAGGCTAGCCCGGCCCCCTCAGCACTGCCCACAGCTCTTCCTGTGCCAGCTGGATGGGACTTGGGTGGGAGCAGGGCAATCGCAAAACAAGGACGTCCTCCCCAGGCTCCCTTCCTCCCAGCAAGACTCCACAGATAATGAAGAGGATGGGACAGAAGGCGTCTAAACCAGCTTACATAGAATTGTTGACAAAAAAAGAAATTGTCAGTCAAGTTACTGCCCCAACTAGAAAAAAGCCAACAAAGGCACAGACGTATTTCGTGTTCCTTTAGTAAATGAGTCCTTCAGGGATTCAAAAAGATACTTATGGGCTGGGGGTGTAGCTCAGTAGTATAGTACTTGCCTGCATGTATGAGGCCCAGAACTGCAAAAAAAGCAAAAATAAAACAACAAAAACTTACATGCTAGTGTTTATAGCAACATTATTTACAATAGCAAAAATGTAAACAACCCAAGTGTTCATCAGCACATGAATAATCCATATATGGATAGTCGTGATGGAACACTATTCAGTTGTTAAAAAGAATAAAGTGCTGATACATTCTACAACACGGGTGAACCTTGAAAACATTAGGCTAAATGAGATAAAACAGACACAAAAGATGGCTGTTATATGATTCTACTCAGGAAATATCTGGAACAGGCAAATTAATGAAGACTCCAAGGGGAGAGGGAGTGGGGTTAATTGGTTAATTGGTTACAGAGGTTCTTTTGGGGGTGAAGGGAAGTTTGGAAATGGTGGTGGTATTGTGCACACATGATAAATGTGATTTATGCCACAGAGTTGTATGCTTAAATGATGAAAATGGAAATTTTATGATACATATCTTTTAATACAACGAAACAATCTGAATAAATCAATAAATTACCTTAACTGAAGAGAATAAAAGTATGGGAAGTAGGGTGAGTCATGCATAACCTGGAGCCTGGGACCACCATTCACACATAAACAGTCCCTGAATCCGGCACTGTGGACGGTGCTCTCCTATCTGCATGGATTATTGAGGATGACAGTTACAGCCCAGGCTGGCCGTCAGCATCTCGGGGGCCCCTTCCACCAGCACCAGGCCACACCAAAAAGGACGCAAGTGATGGCAGCTCAGACTCCCATTTCCTAGCTGTGTGACCCAGGGAAGTTATTTAACCCCTCTGAGCCTCTATCTATAACATGGAGCTAATAACAGCACCTGCCCCAACAAATGATAAAGTCCACTTCGTGCCTCAGTCTCATTGCCTGGCACACAGCCTCTCAGTCCACATTAGTTACAAATGGCAACGGCCGTCCAGGGCGAGGTCAGTGGTGAGATACTCCCGGGTACCTGCATCAGTTCGACAGGGTCAGCAGGGGAGGAGGGCGTTGCCAGATCACACTTCTGGGCGCCACTTGAGTCCTCAACAGCACCAAGAAGCTATCTGTACCTGAAAAATCAGCCAAGGCCAAATATAATTAGGAAAGAGAGTCTGTGACAGGAAAAAGAAAACTGAACTGTGTGAGGGGTGACTGATGTCCAGGCCCAAGTCGGCAAGAGTTGGCGACTCTCCAAGGGAGAACGTGAAGTTCTGGCGTAATTAGAACCATGGTGGCTTCATTCACCTTCCGCAGAGTAGGTAATTGATTCCCTACAGCTTGGCCTCATTGCTCTGTCATTGCTGGGAAATGAGGTGTTTTTAAATGAATTTTCTAGATAACCGAAGTTTATCCCCATGAACCCTAACATTTTTTTCCTATTTAGTCACTCTAGGGAGAAATTTCTCTGCAATGGATTACACACTTCCCTGCTTCCCTAATCAGAATATCCTAAACCGAGTGTAACCTTTTCCTGTCCATTTGCATATGAGAGCTGTTTGGCCCTATATTGACAGCTCCAAGTACCCTTGCTCTTTCAGCCTACAAATATTTTCTGTTCATTTTCATGGTTTCCCATTGTGACATAGAGCTGTTGCCACATGTTTTAGGGACCCCCTAAAGCCCACAGACACAGGCAGGGATGTAGCTCAGTGGTAGACGTCTTGCCTAGCATATCTAAGGCCTTGGGTTCGATCCCAACATCACAAGAAACAAAACAAACACATACTTTCATGTCTGACATATAGCTGATACTTCAGTCAGACGTGGTGGTGTAAGCCAGCAATCCCAGCACTTAGGAGGCTGAGGCAGGAGGATTGTGAGTTTGAGGCCAGCCTGGGCTGCTTAGTGAAACCTATCTCAAAAAAAAAAAAAAAGCTGCAGAAACAAACATATGCACAGATGCATATACGCTCACACTCACACCCATCTGTGGTGTGAGAAGCCAGGGCGTCAGGCCTCATGGAATCGTGTTCACATGTGTTTCTACAGTGCCACAAACTACCCCATTCTAGCACTTTCGCACTAGACTGTACACCTCAAGAGAGCAGGATGCTTCCCAGCGCTAGCAGGTGCTTGGGAGATGTCGAGTGGACAAGTAGAGGAATGAAGGCTCCCAAGAGCTATTGTGTGGACTTTGTGACATTCTTCCGCGTTTTGCTTCTCCCTGGGTTTGGGCTGTGCCAGCATGGTGGTCCCCAGATAAGCAAAGCGAAACCATGTGCCCTGGGGGCATGAGAACCAACTGACTTTAGACTCCAACCATTTTTTACAGAGTCACGGTCTCAGGCAGGAGCTGTGGTCTCAACACATGAAGGGAACCCTTTGTCCTGCACAAAGGTTGAGTGGAGAGGAATGGTCAGTCTCTGTGGTGTCCCCACCTTGTGTCTTACAGCTGACTCCGTGTCCTCCATGCCACCTCTAAGTTTCCCTCCTTGGAATATGCCCCAGAAAGTGTCCCATTTACCTGCAGTGGAGAGCTGGGACCAGATGACCCGGGCCTGCCCTGCTGTAACCTTGGACACTTAACTTTTCTGACCCTTTATCTCCCTGTCTGTAAAATGGGAAAATAAGAAAAACCTAAGGCATGGATTGTACAGATTAAGTTTTATAAGGTATATGACTTCCAGGATGGTGCCTGGACACAGGAAGCGTTTAAACGTGGTTGTCATTAGTGCAAAGGCATCATATCACACACACACATTAGTTCAATCAACTACATGCGAGTGCTTGGCAGCAGAGAAGAGGCAGGGAAAAACACTACAGTGACGCTGCTGGTCCTTCTGCTCCATGTGCCCCAGAGGGGGTGGGATGGGAGGCCCTGGGAAACTACTCAGTCTGTCTGTCCTGTGAGGCTCTGTATGAGTGGAAGTTGTAACTGTAAATGGACTTGACTTTTGTCTTACTGTAATCCCATGTGGAAAATGTAGGGCGCAGCTCACTCTTGATTTCGCAGCTCAGTTTGTATGTGTGAATATTTGGGCTGCAAATGAAAAGGGACGAACCAACATGGAGTAGTGAAGATAGGCAGCATCTCTGGCATTGACCTCTTGACCCTGGTCAGCTAGTGGACATGGGAGATTGATGGGGCTGACGGAGTGATACTTCCACAATCCTTGAGCACCCAACGTTGTGCCACTCTCTCTTTGCTCACACTGAGCCTAAGCCCATGACGCCGTCCCAGCCCTACTCCCCTGTCCATTTCATCTCTGAATATCTAAACCCTAAAAACTGGAAACTAATGAGGAGATCATCTCCCCATTACTCTGTGTCTCCAGCAGCAGCATAGTGAAGGGGCTTCCTGGAATGTGAGACTTGCAGTGCTGGAAGTGAGACACATGGCCACCCATCCTATAAGGCAATGAAGCAAAATACCTTTCACAGCACACTGCAATGCTTTCTCTCCTAGGAAACCTTGCCTGGTCTCCCTAGCTGGGAGTCATCTCTCTCTCCATGGAACCTCTCCTACATTATTTGTGCCTGAATGCCACCTTCCACCCCATCCCAGAATTCCAGTGACTGACACTAGAATTTGGGGACATCTTGTTACTGTGTGTCCTGTATGCACCAGCTGAAAGTGGAAGGAGGCAGACGCAGCTGGCTGTGCCACCTTCCTTGGGGCTCCGCCATTCAGCACTGCTGTAAAGGGCGATTTTCTGCATGCTGGCTCAACTATCACTCTTGGAAACATTTAATTACAGAGAAAGCTCTCAAAGGCTATCTGTTACCTTCCAGGGAAACAGTTCTTTTTCCTGTTCCTTCTGACACTGGTGGCTTGGACAGTAATGAAACTGAACTGAAGATGAAGCAACTAGGGGGCACAGGCCTTACTGAATGGGAGAGAGAGAAATGGGTGATGGGGAGAGGGAGCCAGGAGAAGGGCAGAGGGTTAGAAGAAATGTTCCCAGTGTGAGGTATAAGACATTGAGAAAACCAATGGTGTGGGGAAGACAGGGTGTGAAGTCCAGAGACATGGAAGGTACTAAGAGAATATGGTCACAGAGAAGAGGGGTGGCAGATGGGGAGAGAAAGGCTCCAGCTGAGAGGAATGAAGACAAGCAACCTGGAGGAGTTTCACTGAGGCAGAGGGAGGCACACAGCTCAAGACTCTTGTCATTTCAGTACAGCAGAGGGGCTATGGGGCAGCCCTTGGGTTGCAAGAGAACCAAGCAAGGAGAGGCTTTCTGAAGTTGTGTGATGACAGCTCTCTGCCATTTTTAGCTTGGGTGATCACTTGGGGGTCTTGGAAGAATGCGTGGAGGTGATGAGGTACCAAAACCCTCACCCAAGCACCCCTGTGGCCGTCGAGAGGGAGGAGTGATGCAGAGATGACGTGGACATCTGTTCCGGACCCTTGTTTCCAGGATAGCCCTGATCGTGCCAACCCTGTTTCTAGGATAGCCCTGATCGTGCCCTCTCTTGCAGGCTGCGACAGTGACCACTGGGGCCCTCACTGTAGCAATCGGTGCCAGTGCCAGAACGGCGCCCTGTGCAACCCCATCACCGGCGCCTGCGTGTGCGCCGCCGGCTTCCGAGGGTGGCGCTGCGAAGAGCTGTGTGCGCCGGGCACCCACGGCAAGGGCTGCCAGCTGCCGTGTCAGTGCCGCCACGGCGCCAGCTGCGACCCGCGCACTGGCGAGTGCCTCTGCGCACCTGGCTACACCGGCGTCTAGTGAGTAGTGCAGAGCGGGGCCTGGGGGGCGGGGCCGGCCTGGATGCCCTAGCTGCAGGGGGTGGGGTGGGGGGGGGGACAGTGGCGGGAGAGGGGACCCTTCCGAGTTCCTAGCATCCTAGTGGGCAAGGTCGTGGGAGCAGGAGGATCTGAATAGTCCTGGCTGCAACAGCCTCTGCACTCTGACCCCAAGTCCCACACAGTCTAACGTGCCCAGGCCTCGCCCGCATGGGTTGAGACCCGTGCCTGGCCCTGCGGTGACTGGGCCTACCTGAGATGTGCATGGTGCCAGCTCACAAGACCACGGGAGCTCATTCAGGGCCTCCCAGGGGGCCTTCCTGGCGAGAGTCTCCAGACATTAGCTTGGAATTCTCTCCTGACTTTAACCCATACATATGCTTCTGTTCACCTGCGGCCTGATCGACACTTCCAGGCCATTTGGGACCTAAGAAAGGGGTGAAAGCTCTGGGTTTGTATCATGTTGGGGGGGCACTGAGCCTGTTCTGCCCCCACTTTCTCTCTTCAAACTCCAAGTAGCCCCTCACCCCAGTGCCCTGGGAAGTCCATTTTGACAGGAGGCCTCCAAGGCTGCTCTCTCACAGACAAGATTGACAGTCTCCTCCCAACCCTACTGAAGATTCTAGGTCCTGATGGAGCAGCCAAGGACTATGACCAGGAGACATCTTGAATTGAGGGTGTTTTCTGCTCCACTGTCTGCTCAGCTCCCAGGACCCTTTGAGAAAGAGGCCAGGGTCACTGGATGGAGACCCAAGACTAAGACCCCATGCAAATCCTCACCTCAGTGGTGCCAGTCCCTGCACGTGGCAGCTAGGAGCCTTCCAGACCCTGGAAGGGATGTGATTTGGATTCTTCCTTCTGAATATAAGCAAATCCTTAAAGGCAGGACCCTTCTTAATGCCTTTGCTCCTGCAGTTCCTTCTGTCTAGCATGCCTTCCACACTCAGTAAAATTAGCTTTGTCTTCAAGACCCAAGTAAAATGGCTTCCTCTTAGGGAAGGATTTCTCACCCTTCCCCCCAAAGAACACTTTTCTTTATGCTAAGAACACCTACTTAGGTCATCCCATGTGCATTGGCCCAAGCACACTACATTCTAAGGTATTATAGCTAAGCTCTGCTGCCCCCTCCTGGTGGGGATCAGGACTGCATGTCACTTGGTTTGTGGAGGCACTAATTCCCCTGGAGGCCTGAGCATGGGAACTTGCAGCTCCGGGTACTTCAGGGAATGCTACTGGCTGACACCCTGCTTCTTCATGCAGCTGTGAGGAGCTGTGCCCACCTGGGAGCCACGGAGCACACTGTGAGTTGCGCTGCCCCTGCCAGAATGGGGGCACCTGCCACCACATCACTGGAGAGTGTGCCTGTCCTCCAGGCTGGACGGTAGGTTGGGCCCTCAGGATCTGGGTGGGCACTGTAAGAGGTCTGAGCGTCCCTCACACATACCTTGAAAGGCTGAATCCCTCTCTCACCTTGAGTACTCCCCCTGCATTTATGGTCACAAAGCATCCATCATTAGCTACTGACTCTCTTTGGGTGGAGGTACCCATATGAGCTTCCATTTGTGCCAGAAAGGGCTGGGGAAGGAGAGACAGAGACAACAAGGTATGGTTCACCTGAATTTATAAAACTTCATCCCCTGTGCTCACACACCCCTGATTCCTTGGGACCCAGAATCTGTGTGCTCACAGTTCCATGTGCTTCTAATTCAGCCACAACCAACCCAGGTCTCATGACTGGGGACACCCATTGTGGTACAGGGGGAGAGAAGGCCTAAACCTAGGTGTCATGTTCAATGTTGACCCTGTAAAAAAGCCTCAATGGCTCTGGTCCCCACTTCCATAGGTGCAAAACTGGCCTAACCACAACAAGCCCCACCCTTCCCGGCTGCCATGGTTGGTGGGAACCAACCATGGTCTCAGAGGAGTCCATGCATGGCTAGAGCACTTTGCAAATGCTAGGCTTCACAATGGCTTTCTTACACACTTGATGCCACCAACTACCCACAGGTCTCTTTTTAGCCACTACGCTCCGCCTGTCAGCATCTCTCACCTGCAGACCCAAGCCTTCTTGCAGCTGCGAAGCTGGGGACTGACTTTCAGGCTGTGTTACTACTTCTGTCTCCCCAGTGATGTGCCCCATTTCAGAAGAGGCTCTGATATAGCCAGCTGCCTCCCCAGGGCTTGAGGACTGGCTAAGCAGAGCAGTATATTTTGGTAGGCGGTGGACAGCGAGGTCACACAGCAGCCAGGAGGGATGCCCGCAGGTCCATGGACACAGGTACAGGCTTGGCAGGATGTTTCAGGGCAGGAAATGATCTTGGAGGTCATCTAGCCCAGTGTGACCAAACCTGGCTGCATCCCAGAGCCCTTCTGGGATCTCTGTCTTTAATAAGCTCCCCAGATGTCTGCCCAGCTGCATTTGGAAATTATTGATCTGTACTGAAGGATTTCCTGTGTCCCACAAAGCCTACAGCTCCTTGGTGGAGAGGATGGAGGGATTGAGCCTAATAATTAGGACTCTGGGTCTCACCCCCCACCCCACTGCTCCGTCTTAATCAGTTTTTGGTATTGAGGGTCACATAAAAACAGGGCCTTCCAGTTTGAAGAGGCTTGGACACCCCTGGTCTATCATCCTTTCTTGGATGAGAGAGTCGAGGGCAGCAGAGTCCAGTGACCTACTAACTGCTGATTAGGAGTAAGGTGGAGCTAGAATCCACAGCTTTTGGCTCCTGAATGCCAGCACTAAGTGTCTGTCTTACCTTTCTGTCTGTTGCCCCCTCTCCCACCCCTCCCATCTCTCCCACCCTGAGCCACTCTTTGGAAAAGCCTTCTCATCCTCAGCCAGGTTCTAGAGATCCACTGCCAGGCAGGCTGGGTCCTTGGTGGTCAGACAGGATGGAGCTGTGGCGAGGAAAAACTGTAGCAGGCCCAGAACCTGGACAGGCCTCTCTAGAGAGGCTGCCGTGGTCTGGTGGTCATCGGAGGCGTGGAGGCCAACACAGGGACACATTTGGTTTTCCTCCCTAACACAGTGAGAGACTTATTCTTGCAATTGAGGAGAAACTGTATCAACAGAAACCTTTGAATTTGAGGACTTTATGTTTTTAATTTTATTGTAGACAATTGCATTTCTATTTTTGACATAGCATTTAACTTGCAAATTTGCATGAATTATTAATACTCCTGGTGCATGCCGAGTCACAGTTTAATGAAGCTGCAGCTCAAGCCTGAGGCTCCTCCCAGGGAGAGCTGGGGCCCAGGAGAGGGTACTGGGGAGAAGGGCCCCCCCATGCTCCCCTTCCGTTGTCTAACTTTCCCATTGGTCCCATGTGACTTCATCCACACACTTTCCCCGCTCAGAGGCCTGGGGGCTATGATCGCTTACTCCTAACACGCAGTTCCATAGGACTGGAACACCGCAAAACTGGAGAGGAGCTGCCAGGAACCTGGCCCTCCAGGTCACCAGCTCATGAGAACGCCACCGTCCACTCCACTTGCCCAGCCAGCATGAGCCCTTTCTAGGAGGCGCCTTTGCCAAGAGCCTGGGAATGAGTTTTTCTGGGCTCTGAGACCTTGCAAAGCAGAGAAATCACTGTGAGTGGTTTGATGAGTGGGTATTAGAGACAGGTGGTAAGGCAGAAAAGGATGTGATTGGACCTCCTCAGTCTGAAGTTGGTGGCTGGATGGAGTGAGTGTATGTGCGTACACACCTACACACAGACACACAGAGATAACACATATGGAGGAAGCCACAGACAGGAAGAGAAATAGGGCTGAGAATCTGGGAAATAGGGCCTTTTATTGTGGAGAGCCTGAGGTGTTTGGAGCAGAAGCTGGAGAATCATGGGCTCTCAGGTTTGGGAAGGAAGATTGTGGAGCCCATGGCCCAGGCCTGTGGTAGGGACCACCACCTCCATAGCACCCACACAGCCATTGCTCACTGTTCCTGAGGGTCCATGCCATCCTGGGATAGCAGCCCTCAGTGGGAGCACCTGCAAATGCTGAGGAGGCTAAACTGCCTCTCTCCAGGAGAACTGGCACAGCCCCAAGTCCTCTGCCACCTTGGCCTCTTCCTTTTGTATCATCCATTTAGCATGATCCTTCCAAAGTGCAACTGATTTCCAGATTTGCACAGAATTTTGGAAAGGAGCAGGACTCCTGCTTCCCCTCCAACTTTCTCATGGTCACACAGCTTAAGACCCCACCATAACTGGAGTCACACCCTGACTTAAGGGCAGGTGCATCCGTCTGCACAGCTGCCATAATGAAGTGCTGCGGACTGGCAGCTCAGACAATAGGAACTCATTTTCTCCTGGCTCAGGAGGCTGGAAGTTCAAGATCAAGATGTAAGCAGGGTTGGTGTCTTCTGAGCCTCTCTCCTGAGTTTGGAGATGGCTGTCTTCTCCCTCTGCCTTCACATGGCCATCTCTGTCTTAATCTCTTCTTGGAGGGACATGAGTCAGCTTGGATCAGGGCCCACCCACACAGCCTCATTTTCACTTGATCACCTCTATAAAGACCCCACCTTACCCCGTCTCCACGTACAGTCATGTTCTATATACTGGAAGTAAGGACTTCAATGTGTGGATTTTGAGGGGACACAATCACAGTAGGAGAGAAATCCTCTCTTCAAGTGACACTTTTCTACCTCCCTCAAGAGGCAGGCCAGAAGTAAGTGATCATTATATAGCTCTCTTCTTTCCTTCTCAGTCCCAGGTTATGCTGGGTTCCTACCACGTGCCACCTCATCAGGTGTCAACTTGGTTCAATTAATATTCATTAAGTGCCACTTGTTAAGTACCACTAAGGTCCGTTTGCATCTCAGTCTCACTTAATCTTTTCAGGCACCTGGAGACCAGGGTGACCACTCCCATTTGATAGCTGAGGAAACTGAGGTTCAGAATGATTAAATGACTTGTCCTTGATCAGCTGTCTAGGAAGAGGCAGAGTTGGGATTTGAACCCTATTCCTGACTTCAAGTCTAGCATTCTTTCCACTCAACCAGGCAGCAAGACTTCTAAGGAATCAAATCCCTCTAGTCCCCAGTAGCTCAAGTCAGAGGGGCCCAGAGTTCAAGGACCTTGGTTAAGAAGGCGCTCACCACTTGAACAAAAAAACTCAGGGTTGCTGGTGTCCTGGGAATGCAAGGAAGGAAGCATTCTGTACACCAAGCTTTCCTACTGCCAGTGTCTCACAATCACTGGCTGGGCCAGAGTCCTGCCACCAATCAAGACGATGGTGTGAGAGTGTGTGACAGAGAGAGAGAGTGTGTGTGAGTGAGTGTAAGTGTGAGTGTGTGTGTAAGTAGTGCAGGAGAGTTCCAGACTGCTCAGGGATGGAGGGAGGGGCATATGCACATCTCCCCCAAGTTGCCCTAATTTTTTTTAGGGTAGATGTCCTTATGCAGCCCCAAACTGTAAAAGACTTACTTGCGCAGAAACCAAAAGGACTCCTGTCATGACTCATGAATGTCTAGAGCTTGTGGGGTCCATGAGACCCCACAGGTCACTGCCATGCCCAGAGCACCCCACCACCACCTCCAGAAGGCAGAGTTTCCCCTACTGGGACATATACATCCATCCACTGTCCTCCCTTCTCTGCGCCCTCCAGCCCTCCTCTCAAAGCCTCACTGCCTGGCCTGTGCGTGGAGGAGAAATCTGAGTTAAAAGCCTCCTACTTAATTCATTACAACTCAATTGCCTGATCTTGAATGATGACTCTGGCCTGCCAGGCTTTTCCTGACCAAATCAGCTTCCTCAGTGTTAGCAACTGTTGGTGCTTAATAATTGTGTGTTGAACTAATTGATTAATTAATCAGAAGGTCATCCTTGATCTCCATAGAGAAATGATTATCTCTGGTGTTTGAGGCTAGCGGGGTGGCAGGAGACAAGAGTGGGCCCAGATGTCGTTTGTTAAAACTCAAGACTCATCTACGCAGTTCAGTTATATAATGACACAAGGCTAATTGTGGAGGGAAGAGGCAAGAGGAAAACAGGCCCCCTCACAAATCCTGAAGGGCAGCCACTTTGAACCTGTTGATGTTTCTTCTGCATCTTCCATCATTTTTCTACATAACAAGCTTTATGCCATTTCTTGACTTTTCCAATTCAGACATTTGTTGAGTCATTGACTTCCTACCATAGAATAAGATTTATCTCCACCATATACACAAACACAGGTTCCCCTCTCCCGCCTTCCCAGAGGAATTATATTACAATTTTTGATTAAATATTTTTTAATATTTATATTACTGAACCTGCATATGTAGTGTTACTAATTTATCCCTACAATTCTTGGACAGAAGTCTAAAAGTCCTCTCAATAAGGTCAGACACATCAGAGATCGCCCCATTAGTTTCTTGCTTTTGCTTTGTACTGGGATTTGAACTCCTGGCCTTGTGTTTTCCAGGCAGGTGCTGTACCATTTGAGCCACACCCCCAGCCCTTTTTGCTTTAGGTATTTTTTTGAATAGGGTCTCACATTTATTCCCTGGCAGATCTGCACTGGGATCCTCCTGTTTATAGCTCTGAATAGTTGGGACAACAGGGACATACCCCCACACCCAGTTTTATTGATTCAAAGCCCTGGCTGGTCTTGAACCTTGACCTTCCCAAGCAGCTAGGATTACTGACATGAGCCACAATACCTGGACATTTGGTTTTGAGGCAATACTCTCGGAAGCCTGCATTTCATTAGGAACTCTGCTTTCCAGGTCTGCTACATCCGGGACTTTCTCTCATCACCATTCTGGGATTCCTTTTGCCTCTCTCTTCTTTGGATTCCCTAGTTCCTAGAACCTGTGACTTTCTTTCTCTTGGGTTAATTCTTTTTGATGGGGAAAAACCCCTCCAGTAGCTACATGAAAGTATTTGTGGAAGACTAATTTTCTGAGGTTGTTCAAATCTGAGTATGTCTGTTAAATCCCCCACTGGAGCATTGGTTTAGCTGGGTACAGAACTCTAGCCTGGAAATATTTTCTCTCCACGTTTTAAGGCATTGCTCTATATTCTCTAATTTCTAGTTAAGTCTGGGGCTGGGGATGTAGCTCAGTGGTAGCCTAGCAATTAGAGGCCCTGGGTTCAGTCCCTGGTACCAAGAGGAAAAAAAAAAGCATAGTCTTAGTAACTTTTTCTTCCTGAGTATTGTTCCTGTTGCTAAAAAATTTGAGAGTCATTTCTTTGTCCATAGAGATTTAAAATTCACAGGATATGCCTTGATGTGAGTGCCCTCCCCCCTCCCTTTCCTTCTTTCCTTCCTTCCTCCTGTTTCCTTCTTCCTTCTTTCTTTTTGCTGGAGTTCTGAAGGCCTTTGAGAAATCTACTCTTTCAATCCTTGCATTCTGAGAACTTTTCTCTTATTACATTTTTCCACTTAATTTACTCACCTCCATTTTTATTTGTTCCACTGGGTAGAATTCCGATTAATTAGATGTCAGACCATGTGAATTGTCCTCTGATTTTATGTTTTTTGTACTGCTCTATGTTCTCTCTCTGTGTCTCTCTCTTCTCTCTCTCTCTCTTTCTCCTTTGTAGAAGATTTATTCAACTTCCAGCTCTTCTGTTGCAATGTAAAATTTTCTACCACCTTATTCTTAATTTTCAAGAACTCTTTACTGGTCTCTGGACATTCCCTTACATAGCACTCTGTTCCTTCACAGATACAATATTTCCTTATAACTAGCTACCTGAGGATATTCATTTTAATTATGATAGAGGGTTTTTCCTTGCCTTCTCTTAAGTGTTCTTTGCTCCTGGCATGGTTCCCATTTCCTCTGTGTTCCTTTGGCTGTTTGTTTCCTTTGTTTTCTTGTGAGAGCCTTTTTCACCTCTCTCCTGATCCTTGACCTTTTGTTCACGTTTTACAGTGAGCTTGAGGGTGGAGGCTTGGTGACTGACATCAGAATCTGTGAGTCATTTCTCCTGAGCTCATCAGTGTCCCCTGAAAGGAGTCCTCCAGCCTCCTGCCACAGGGAGTATAGTCTCGCAGTCGGCATTCTGTGAACTGAGTAGGAAAAAGAGCAGAGGGTCTGCTCTTCTCTGTCCTTCAGCTGTGTCTGTGTCCCTGTGTCTGAAGCCTGTGGGATCACCCTCTCCAAAAGGCCTGGAAAGTCACCTGGCTGTTTAAAGTTGGGGCAGAGATTAAGAGTCTAGTTCCTTCTTTTATAGACTTTCAAACAGTCTTGTTTTACCACACCTGCCCCTTGGCCTTTGGAGGATGCTGGTGTCTCTGATTCCCGAGTTTTACTGAGTCTGGAAAGGACTTGCTCTCCCAGCATCATGACGGCTTCCCATACTTCCTTTGCGGGCAGCTATTCCATCTCCCAGCTGCTTTTTCATCTCCTGACGTGACATCTCTTATCCTCCATCCCTTTTGTCCTTGTAGGTTCAGACCTTTTGGGCCCCTTCTCTCATGGTAGCTATGCTTGGGGGTAGGGGTTGGGTAGAGACAAATGTTTGTCCCCACACCAATGTGTGTAACTAGAGGTTCCTCCCTGTGTCGCCCAGGTCTTTATTGTGTTTCTGTGTGAGAGCCCTGGGGTCGTGGCTTTACTTAGCTATTTCCTGCTTTCTCCCCTCCCTCCTCTCACTGGGAAGACAAGAATCAAGTCTGACTCACTTTTTGAACCCTGAGTATCTAACATAGCACTTGGTATACAGCAGGCTCTCACTAAATGTATGCTAAATGATTGGTTGAGCAAACTGGCCCTCAGTGTCCCCATGTCTAAGGTGAGGGCTTTGGAGCCATAGCGTCCAGCCCTCTGTGCTTCCTGGGAAGATGGGGTGGTTCCTAGCAGGGTGGCCCCAGCATGGCATCTCTGGACTGTGTGTCTTCCTGCCTTTGTTTCAGGGAGCAGTGTGCGCCCAGCCCTGCCCACCAGGGACGTTCGGCCAGAACTGCAGCCAGGACTGTCCTTGCCATCATGGAGGGCAGTGTGACCACGTGACTGGACAGTGCCACTGTACAGCTGGATACATGGGGGACAGGTAAGGATGGTGTTGACTCTGTGCTTACGTTGCTGGTGTTCACAGCAGCCTTGCAGACAATGGCTGAGGCTTGTCAGCCCCCAGCACTCTGCAAGCCTTCCGTTTCCTTCCTCAAAAGTGCTCTGAGTCCATCACGCTAAGCATGCAGCGAGCGCTCCATCCCAGCCCGGCTGCTCTGAATTTACACTGGCTTACCTGGAGACGGAGGTAAGCATCTGCCACCCACTGTGTGCATGGCACAGGGACTCCAAAGAAGCCAAGAGAGAAAATCAGTTCCAAAATTTTTCACGATTCCTTCTAGAAGTGGGTTTTTATTCCAAATTTGAGTCCCCCACTCCCAAAAAAAGATACTGACATCCATTTGCATCCTCTTAAGGCCTGTGACCTGAGAGAGCAGACTGAATGGGTCCCTAATGTCTTGGAATGAACTCAACCTGGCAGAGGGGACAACGGACAAAACACAGAACTGAGGCGTTCCCATATGTGTGTTTACCACAGTTGAAGCAAGGATGCCGTGGGGGTGGAGTGAGGGGGCACAGGTGTGATGGACAAGAGAGAAATAACACCCAGTGCGTCTGATGGCTTGTAGGGGGCATTTTCCCAGGGAACCCAGGCCAAGTGTCCTCTCTTTTTCCACTAAACTGGTCTCCGAGCAGCCAGAGGGCCAGTGAAGAGGAGGCCTACCTAGTTCCATAGGGATGGTTCCAGGTTTCAATTCTGGCCCCTGGATTTTGTTACTCTTCCCAAAGTGAGGTAAGAGGAGCATTTGTTCCCATCCTTCTGCCTCCCCTGCCTGGGTGGCATCAGAAAGCAGGGATCAGGGCTGAGTCAATCAATGAGTCCTTTCGGTCCTGACTGATGAAATTGAGGCTCCAGCTCTTGACTGGAATCAGTGCCAGAACTTAGTGATGTCCAAAAAAGAGCTTGTCCATTGGCCTTGGCCTGGTTTGCCTCCAGCCTGAAGTCTTTTAAGCTAGATCTGATCTTTTCACAAAGCATTCGTCTACATGAGCTTCCCCAGTATACAGCATGAATGTGGTATTTGGGGATGCAGAATCAAACCATGGGCCCACCTTCCCATCCATACCCTCTCCTCCAGATAAGGAAATGCTCAGGACAGCCAGTGGAGCCAGGAATCAGGAAGATCCCAAATCAGATCCACTGTGACATGAGAGACTAAAGGCCACTGTTGGAAAGAAGCAATCTAGGGCTCCACACTAGACCTGGCCACATCGGCTGTCACTGTTTGCTGCCAATGTACCAAACGGAGAAATAGTTGAAGTCTCTTTCTTTGAACCTGGCTCGTGATCCTAGGGCAGAGAGAAATCCCCAAAGCCAAGGCACTCTAGCAAGCTTTGCCACAAGCTACAGAAGAGTTCATTCAGAGGGCCAGGTAGCATGTGGGTTTCCCACCTCAATGGGCTGCCTGGTGTTTAATATTTTGTGAAATTGCCTCCATTAATTTCATAGGTGACAGCTGTATTAACCCACCCCAAATCATCACGAGCATATTAAAGTTGAGCGGGTGTAATAACACGGGCCTCCCCGGATAGGCAGAATCCAGTGCAAATGAAACACAAAACGTAACGAGGGCTTTGCAGCTCATTTTGTAATTTAATTGAGCAATGTATCTGGTTGTTAATGGCAATATCAGACACATTAGATTGATATGTTGCAAAGGAAGGATGTTTAAGTAGAAAACTAATGCCTGCTGTGATTACCCTTCTGTTCCACAGGCCCTGTTATTAGCGTGCTTTGTGTAAAATTCATTAACAGTCATTGCTTGATCTCTAAATAAATAAGTTGTTTAAATTGTGAGTAGGAAAAAAAATAAAAAGAGGCTGATTATGTAAATGGATTAGGTTGTCAATATTTCATTTCCAGATTTTTTTTCCTGGGGTTGTGGATTTAGTCATCCCCAAAATATGGCCGGGTGGGAACGTGCCTTTCAGAGGAGCTCCATCCCTGGGTTCTGCCCAATCTTGCTAGGCAGGAGAAGGCTGGAACGTTCCAGTGAAAGGGAGAAGGTGTCTCCTGTCCTGACATTTGAACCTAAAGTCAGCAAACCTCAGTGACTTCTGAAGAAATCCATTCTGAGGCTAGTCAGGGACCGATAGGTCAGACAGTGGCTGTGCAGACCCTCTACTACTCTTGGCTCTTCCCTTCTACCTTAGGTTCCCTCCTGCTCTCCTCCAGTCTCCTTCCTCCTCCTTCTTATCTTCCACCTTCCACTCCTCCCCCTTCCTGCCTTTCTGTCCCCTTTCTCTCCATGGTTGACATGCAGCTAGGTTTGCAGGAAGATAAGCTAGGTCCTCTTGGCCATTTGCAGGCTGTGTGAGCTCAAGACAGTCACCTCAACCCCATCTGAATGCAATGAGAGTGTCCGCTGCTTCCAGGGCTCAGGTTGAGCCTCTGGAGCCCCATGCTGGCCGGTGCCTGGGGCTGCTGCCGTTGTTTCCCCTGTGCCTCCCCTCTGCCATTTTCCTCTGCCACAGTGGCTCTGAGAGGAACACCTGTGGATTCTTCCCCTGAGAGAAGCTCTCAAAGTCAAACCCCAGGCGCTCTTGTCCTCCTGTAATTTTGGGCACAGAGCAGCAAGGGCAGAAGAGAGATGGGGACACCCAGTCTCAAGTTACCTGGCCTGCTGGCTGCCCTGGTTCCCATGCACTCAATGGCCAGCCCTCAGGAATCCACTTGTGTGGCCACTTTGCCCTCATGTTAGGCCATTGAGCCAAACTGGACTGGGCTCTCCCTGCCCTGTCTGTGGGGAAGGACACTCACTTCCACCTTGTGCACCTCCAAGATATAACAAAGAACTTAGTGCTGTATTTTTTTTAATATCTTTTATTGCTTTCCCCACTTCATTATGATAGAGCACCTGAGAAATGGAAAAATAGAGGAATGGAGCTAATTGCTCTAGTGCACTCCACTTTAGTTTTTATTTTTAATTTTGCATTACTGGGGTTTGAGCCCAAGGTCTTGAGCTTGCTTTGCAAGTGCTCTACCACTTGAGCCATGCCCCAAGCCTCTACTTTAACATTTTAAAAAGTCTTTCCTTTGAGCACTTTCATGCCAGAGTCTAAAGCCAGAAGGTCAGATGGGCTCTGTTTTAGGAACTACGGAAAATAATATTAACAAGAGTAATAATTATAACTAACATTTCTCACTGGACCTAACCATGTGTCGGGCACCTTTCTAAACACGCACACGTAATCTTGTCTAACCCTTACACAACCTGATGAGGTTTTGTTCTCACCCCATTTTATGATGAGCCAGTGGTTCATTCTCCATTATCCCCACCATGGAAGCAGTGCTGGTACATGGAAAATCCAAACCCCAGAGGTCAGAGGCCATTTTCTTCAGTCTCTGGGATGCAGGAGTTGCCCCGGGTTTACCTCTTACCTTGTGAGGATCCAGTTGTTGTGACAATGAATTTGCACCCCAAAAGTAGCCCTGGGCTGGGCAAGGGGTTTGGGGCACTTTCAGGAAGCCAGGTGGTCCACAGTGGGCTGACACCCAGCTATAGAGAACGGATGAGAAAATGAAGTAGAGCAATTACCACTATGCTGAGAGCGCCCATGGCCAGCCCAGCATATGCAGGGCACAAGGAGGGCCAGTCCTCCCCCAGGGTGCTCCCAGGCCGAAGGGGGAGACCCAGCCCCTACCTGGAGAGGGCCCCAAATCCCAGCTCTGTGTGTGGGTTCCCCAGTCTGATGAAGGAGGTCATCTCTTTTCTCAAGGGGTGGTGGTACTAACCCAGGCTAGAGAGACTATTTCTGCCCAAAAGACTAAAAAAAAAAAAAAAAATCACAGTTTATAGAGAAATGAAATCACCCCACTTCATCAAACCTAAAACACCACTGATGGTAAGAGACCTCGTTAGTTTATATACTGTGAAGAATGAAAGGCACTGATAATTAAACTGTCACACCATCCATCATCAGACCTAACTGATTTCAGAGCTGTGAATGTGTCTTTAAGCAGGTTTTTTGTCAGTGGGTACGGAGTTTCAGCTTTGCAAATGAAAATGTTGTATGGATGGATGGTGGCAATAGTTGCACAGTCATATGAAGGAATTTAATGCCACTCAACTCCACTTAATGGTTTTAAATGATCAATTTTATATTACGTATTGTCTTTATCTGTTCCTGCTGCTGTGACAAAGTACCTGAGGCCGGGTAATTTATAAACATACATCTCCAGTTCTCACAGTCTGGAGCCTGGGAAATCCAAGACCAGGATGCCAGCAGGTTCGGTGACTGGTGAAGGCCTCCAAGATGGTGCCTGAAACTCTGTGTCCTCAAGCGGTAGAAGGGATGGAAGGACAAAGAAAGAGACCTAGCTAGTCTCCACCTGCCCTTTTGTAAGAGCAGTCATGAAGACAGAGTCCCCCTGACCTAATCACCTCCCAAGGGCAACTTCTCTTGCTACTGTTGCCCTGGGATTGAGTTTCATCTGAAACTTGGAGGAGACACAAACATTCTAGGCATAGCATGTATATTTTAATGTGATTTTTAAAAATGAAGAAACATAAGGTTTAGCATCAATGAGGAAGAACGGACTGGAGTGAGCTATCCCATGGAACCCTTCCTGGAGGACAGGAAGGAAGAGGGGTGGTCTGTGAGGGGTGGAGCACCCCAGTCCAGGCCTGGAGGACAGGAGGGCTGCATGCTTGGCAGATGTGGCGGAGTAGGACCCCAGTTCACAACCTCAGCCTTGCTCTGCTGTCTTGCCAGGTGCCAAGAGGAATGTCCCTTCGGGACCTTTGGCTTCCAGTGCTCGCAGCGCTGTGACTGCCACAACGGGGGCCAGTGTTCACCCACCACGGGTGCCTGTGAGTGTGAGCCTGGCTACAAGGGACCGCGCTGCCAAGAACGGCTGTGTCCTGAAGGCCTGCATGGCCCAGGCTGCACCTTGCCCTGCCCCTGTGACACGGACAACACTATCAGGTACAACTGGGAACAGATGAGCCCAGGGGAGGGTGGGCTATGGGGAGAGGGGCTTCTCAGGTCATGACCCCACCTCTAGTGCAGCCTTCTAGGCAGAGAGAAAAAGCTGGGAGACCTCAGCCACCAGCTCCTTAACAGCTCTGATGAAAAGGGGAGGCCAAGGCCACCCAGCCAGTCAGACCCACATCCCAGATCACCTGTCTCTGTCCATTGCACCCAACTGCCTGCATTTCACAGTGGGCCAATCTGAGATCCCACACTCAGGAGTAAGGAGAGAGTGTGGTGACCCACAGGGGTGTGGGGCAGGACACACAGTCCTGAGGCTGAGGTGGCAGGATTCAGGGTGCCACAGCTCTGGTACCTTGTCCTGGACAATGTCCTCTCATACTTAGCATCTAGCCAGAGGCAGGGTCACCAGGGCAGAAGCAGGGGCTTGAGTCATAGAAAGCCAGCATGGGAAGGGACCTTACAAATCAGTATGGTCATCCTGAGGCCCAGGGAGGCTTGGCCTAGCAAGTCCCAGAAAGGTGGAAGAGCAGGGGATGGAGGCAGCCCTTCTTCAGGGTCCTACCATAACGTGTATTTTGCCATGGTTTTTAAATATGAAGAAACATACAGTTTAGCATCTATTGGGGAAACAGTTAGAGTGAGCTATTCCATGGAACGCTGCTGGAGGACAGGAAGGAAGGCAGGGAGTCTGTGAGGGGATAGAACACTCCAGGCCCAGCCATTCATTCCCTGTCTCTGTGCCCTTAATGGCTTGGTTAGCACCTGAGCAAAAGCTGGTCCCACTCTCCCTTCTAGAGGAGCCCGAGCCTGGGAAGTAGAGCAGCTCCGGCCGCCTGCCTCAGCCCCTCCTCACCTGCTTCACACACCAGCTGCCATTGCTGTCTGGTAATAAATGGGCTATTGGCCCAGATAGACGCTTCATAGCCTTGATCTGGCTGCCTCTTACCAGGGTGGTAAAGGATGGGGAGCATCCCGTTCCCTGGGCCTGTGGACAGCCTAGGAAGGACTGCTGTCCTGGGCAGCAGTACTGTGCCATTGGCAGAGCAGACAGAAATGCTTCTGCTTCATGGCCCTGGCGCTGGGACAGCCAGGACTTGACTGGGCCCCTCCTCATTTCCGGCCTTTGATTTCTCATACATCACCCTGGAACCTCCAGTCTCTGCCAATAGAGGCAGCTCAGCACATGTCACGGCTTAGATAAAAATGGCCCTCAGTTCCTGTAGTTGAGCAGCTAGTGGTGCTAGGTAAGGGTAGCAGTTGGAAACAACACTGTCCAAAGAGGTCCTACAGCCAAGGGAGCTGGCCTGTATACGACCCGAGCATTCATTCATTCATTCATTCAACAAACACTGAGTGGTCATGCTTTCCCACACTGAGCACCTACACTAACACCATTAGTGAGGCACAGCTATGCTCTATGTCCTACTAAATGAAGGAAATGCCATTCTCTGGACTGTGACATACCATCAATTGTGTAATGCACCCAGTATCAGAGTGTGAAAACATAGGGGAGATGTGCATGTTAGAATGTGTGAAATACATGTGACTGGCTCTGCTGGGTCCCAACTTGTGCCCAAGTAACTGTGACCCAGGACTATGTGTAGGAAGGAGCACAAGAAACTATAGTCAGGGAAGGCTGCCTGACAGAGATGGCACCTGGGCTGGGCTGGGGGACAGGGTGAGAGTTCCAAGGCTGTACACTGGGGTCCCCTGTGGTTGCTCAGGGGAGTGGGCAGCTGCCTTACACACTCCATGGGTGGCATACAGCACCAGGACCCCCTACCCTGCTGGGAAGCCAAGGAAGGACCCCCTCCAGTGCAGGGAGAGTCCCCACTCCAGAGATCCAACCAGGTCCCAAATGAAAGAGCTATTGTTCTCCTCCCGTGCCTGAGCCGGTGTGCACTGCATAATCTGTCTTTCCTCTGAAGGAGTCTCAATGCATTATTAATCTGGAAGGAGTCCCTCTTCTCCATCGCTAATCTCAGCCCATCCAATATTAATGGTTATTTGCTTTACTGTCTCTAATGCATGTCATGTTTCAGGGACTGGAGGCAGTAGCATTTCTTAGGAGTGAGGGCTTTGGGGTCGCCTGCCAGCCCACCCCTAGGCAGGCTACTCAGAATCTGCTGCCCCCCTCCTCGAGAGAACCTTGTCCAAGCCTGGGCCCCTAAGGGTGCAAGCAACCTGGCTTGTCTCTCTCTGTCACTGTTGTTTCAGCCTGGCATAGAGTAGACTTTCAGTGAAAAGCTTCATTGAATTCATCTTAAACAGCCCACCCTTCTAGGTGGTTTTACCCATTTGCTGATATATGCCGCATTTTTGCTTTTAAAATATTCACCTCTTTCTCCTGGCACATTGTCCCTGTAACTAAGGTTCCCCCACCCCAACACTCACAAAGGATTTTACGCAGTCTAATTCAAATTTTGTCAACCTTGAACTGGACATGATCGATGCACCTGTAATCCCAGCTACTCAGGAGGTGGAGGTAGGAGGATCACTGACCAAGGCCAGCCTAGGCAAAAGTGAAAGACCCTATCTGAAAAACAAGTTAAACAAAAGGGCTGGGGATATGGCTTAAAGTGGTAGAGCACCTGCCCAGCAAGCTCAAGGCCCCAAGTGCAAACCCCAGTACAAAAAAAAAGAAGAAAAAGAAAGTGAAGCTTCCACCAAACTCCTGAAGAGATGAAGATGGGGGTCCCCAAAAGCCTGGCCTCATTTGCCCCCAACTTCTACAGAACATGGAACAAAGTCCACCACCCCAATGTCTTGCAAGTCTTGAGAGTCTTTCCTAAGGAAACAAAGTATTGTCACCCCAGCCAAAGAAAGCTCTGCCCCATGGAGCTGCAGCCTTTTCTTGCTCCTCCCCTCTGGCCAGGCTGCTCTATAGAGGTTGAAACCCAGACTAGGAAGATGTTTATCAGCTAAGTGTAGTTAACAACAAGCCATCCTCCTTCAAAAAGGAATAACCTTGAGGAAGGGTGCCTGGGTGCCAGGCCTCTTAAATGTCCCCTCCACAATTGGATTGTCACCGACGAATTCCAGTAGCCACCATCATAGATTCCCTTTGAAAGATTTGATTCAGCCAACAGATGCAGCACTGATAGAAATCTCAGAGCAGCCAAAAGAAAGGCAGGAAAATCCACTGGCTTTCGGCTCCTATTAACTTGTGATTAATCTCTGCCTGGGGAAAAGAGAGAAAGGGAAAACAGCCAGAGACAAATGAGCCAGCCTCAACTTCAGCGACAGTGGCTTTTGCCCCAGTATGAGCCTCCCCAGCAGTGCCTGTCTGCTGAGTGACCCAAGGGCACGGGACCCTCGCTGGGAGGGAGTGATGCCTGGGACCAGAAGCATGGTGATCACAGGTCTCAGTAATAATCACTGGCAGCCTTTATTCCCTCCCCATCCTCTTTTTGGAGTTTTATAATATAACCCAAGTAATCAAATTCAGAACTTAGACATTCCAGTTTTAGAAACAGAATTGTAGGGACATGAAAAGGATAAAGGAAAGATTTTAGATTTGAGCCTTGTGGTTCTCAGAGTAAGAGACAAAATTAGTGCCCAGACACCAAAGCAGTGGAAGATGGGTCTGAGACAAAGCATGGGAAATGGAGGAAGATCCTGGAAGTCAGTTCACTGGCTCATTGTGAGCTATAGTGCCTTTCACGGGAAGGTGACCTCGCCCATGATGGGTGAGTTCCAGCCTGACCACTGGTGAGGTGCACACAGAGCGAGAACCCACTAGCAGGAACAGCAGAAAGGTGGCAGAGACCTTTGTTAGAGTCTCCAGCAGACAAATGCAGCCAAGGACTGCGGGGTCATTCCTGGATCCAAACATGGCAGTCTCCCTGACCGTGACTGAGCTGCTCCTTCTAACCATGAACCTAAATCCAAGAGGAAGCCCTGGAAAGTTGAAACCTAGAAAAGCTGTGTTGAGAGGAGAGAGAGAGAGTGAGAAAGCTGAGAGCTGAGAGTCAGGGACACCCAGTGGGACCCAGGTCCCATGATGCACATGGATGTCACTGTCCTCAATGCTTGGGCAAGGGAGAAATGTTTCTAGAACTGTCAAGGTCAGAAAGCTTCAAACATTCGCACCTCACACCCACTCTTCTTTGCTATATAGTTATGATTCTGATTGCTTTATGTGCTTATAATGTGATAAACACATTTCTACACACTTTCCACTCAGTTTGAACACATGGACATTTAAAAAAAAAAAACTCAGCTGGGATTGTGGCTCAAGTGGTAGAGCACCTGGCTAGCAAACGCAAAGTTCTAAGTTCAAAGCCCAGTACTGCCAGAAAAAAAGAAAAAAGTCAGTCACTCATAGTTTCTCAACCAGCTCAGGGGTAAGCACAGATTAAGCATTTTGTAACAATTTGTTCATTCTGCATCCACATCTGCATTTATATCACTTTTTAAGATATTTTTGATCATGATTTTGAATGTAATTTATTTCATTAAATCATATCATTAGATAATTTGGAAAATAAGGAAGCTCAGGCAGAAGGCTATAATTCATTTAGTAAGCTCCCCATTGTAAGAGGTGGCACGGGGCCGAGGCTACACATGGCCAGACAGATTTGGGTTTGAATCCCAGCTCTCTACCCACCACCTTGGCTGAGTGACCTTGAGCAGGTCACATAACCTCCAAGTGCCAGGTGAATATAAAATAGAGGCTCAAATTCCTCATTGTCAGGCTTACTGAAGATTAGAAACAGACGTGTAAAGGGCCTGGTGCTGTTAATAGCAGCCACATATTATGTATTTGTATTCGAACAGCTTCCATTTTCACTGTCATAAATAATGCTTCAGGGCACATCTCTGAGTATAAATCTTTCTCCACAACTATGACTATTTCCTTAGGACAGATTCTTAGAAATGGAATTACAAGACCAAGGAGTCTGCATATTGTTAGGTCTCCTGGTGAATAACCTCAAATTGTTTTTGAAACCTTTACCAGCAATTTTTAAAGTCTTTACTGTTTTGATAGGGGCAAAAGTGAGATCCGGTTGTTGGTTTGACTTGATGATTAATGAGACTAAACATTCTCTGAAATAGTTATTAGCGACTTGTATTTACTATTCAGGAATTGTCTGCCTCAGTCCACCCCCTCATTTTCTGTGAGAAGAGAAACGGTTTGGCTGGGCTGCACACAATTAGTGTTCATTAATTCATTTGCCAAGTGTGCATGGAGTACCTCCCACGTGCCAGGAGCCCTGCTGGGCCCTGAGAGGTGAAGAGACAAGACAAGGGCTCTCCTCTCCTGGGGACCTGCAACCTAGCAGGCAGACAGATGACAAACAAGTCAACAAATAGAAAATAATGAAACACAGTGAAAGCTACTTGCATTCCCAGATAGGCAACTGGGCAGTGAATATGAGCCAGGAACTGGGGACCCACCAGTGGCCTAGAAAGACCACACCCCTGTCCTCCTGGAACATAGCAGAACCAAGACCTGCCAGCCCAGCACAGATTTCTCTTGATGGTACCTGAGCTGGGCTCCAGAGCAGGAGGCAGGAGACATAGGGATCTATCTAAGTGGCTTGTTTGTAACACTTTCTCTGGCATTAGTCTGGGCTACCTAGAAGCAGAGGCCAAGTGCAAGACATTTTACTAGAGGACGTGTTTGGGGGTGCGGAGCTGGGGAGGCTGGGAGAGCTGTTAGATCTGACCCATGTGAGGAGAGGGAAGGAAAGAAAGGTTTGTGGGAGAGTTGTAGCCTGCAGCACAGTTCTAGAAAAGTCTGACAAGTCTGGGAGTCTTGAAGCAAAAGGAGCCCATTAGTGGAGCCCGGAGCTCTGCAGCGTGTGCCCACTTCAGTAATCCTGCCGAAGGACACCAGTGGCCTCACAGTATATGTCAGACACAGCAACTGGGCCATCAGTCAGTTACCCAGAGCCGCACGTGGTCCCCACAGTCTGCATCCCCTGATCGTGAAGGGATGTTAACCAGCCAGAGCCTGCCCTCCTCCAAGGTCATTCCATGGAGCTTCTATCTCCACCGAATGGTCCTTTCTGTAGCCTAGACAGGGATGAAGAAGAACTTGCTCCCAGGTTGGGGTTTCTCTCCAGTGCAGACATTGCCCGGTGGCTGGGAGAATGGGGGGAGGGAGGGCATGTGTGCCCTGAGGTCTTGTTTGAACTTTGCCAGTGTCCATAGAGCATCTGCCATATGGTGAGTCTCCAGACGTCACTGCTACCGTCTCATGCCTGTCCCCACATTAGTTACCTGCCTTGAGTGATGGGTGGGGGAAGCTCTGGACCCCATAAGGCAAAGGACTAAAGAGGCCGCCTTCTGCTTTGGTCTCTGTGTAGTTTTATAAAAAATGCATGTTTGGGAGTCAGAAGGCCTGGGTTCTAATCCTGACCTCTCCACCTCCTTGCTGTGTGCCTTTAGACAAGTTACATAACTATTCTGAGCCTCAGTTTCTGGGGACTAATAAGACCATGTCTGGCCTTGGCCTTTTCTGATAAACAAACAAGGCACTGAGCAGTTTAACCTCAAAGGGCCTTTGATCCCAGACCTGGGGTGGGCAGAGGGAGGGACACAGCTGCCTCCCTGAACCTAGTGCCCTGTCACCCCTTCCCTCCTTGCTCAGCTGCCACCCTGTAACTGGAGCTTGTACCTGCCAACCTGGTTGGTCTGGCCACCACTGCAACGAGTCCTGTCCTGCTGGATACTATGGTGATAGCTGCCAGCTGCCTTGCACCTGTCAGAACGGTGCCGACTGCCACAGCATCACTGGGGGCTGCACTTGTTCCCCAGGCTTCATGGTAAGGTGGACAGAGCCTCCAGTGGCTTCCCTGGCCCCCATCAGGCCAGCTCCCCTGACCTCCTACCAATCAGGAGTGTGGCCTATGCCCGGGGGCGGGGGGGGGGGAAGGATGGGACAGTCTCTCCCTGAGAGACTGGAGAGCCCCTAAGGCTGTGCTTCAAGGGCTGGGGTTGTCATTGTAAAAGTGACTGGAGGAGGGTCTCCATTGTCCCCCCACTCTGAGACTGTCTGTTCCCTGTGTGTCCTTCTCTGCCCTAACCGTCTTCTGATGCTCTGGGTTCTTTATATCAGAATAATCCCAGTGCACAATGCAGCGTTGCATCGTGCTTTCTTTCATCCACATTTCTGTCTCATTTTAAATGGCTTCATCCCATGGAAGGAGCTGAGAGCCTCCATTTGACCCAGTCTTCCCTTACTGTTCGTATCGAGTTGTTTCCCACGTTCACAGCCAATGTCGCAAAGCACGTCTCTATACAAACAGCCCCCCCACACCCACTGAGTTATTTCCCTCGGGTGAATTCCCAGGTCAGTGGGCACAATATATTCCTGGCTCCTGATGGATGTTGCCATAGCCTTCCCTCCAGGGTCACATAAATCTACACTGTCACCAATCGCGTGCGCGTCACCTACTTTGGAACAATTTCTGCTTTCTTTGTTTTTTTAGTTGTTGCTAATTATGTAGGCAGGAAATGGTTCCTCAGTGTTGCTCTAATTTGCATTTCTCTGATTACATGGGAGATCACATTTCCCCATGTGTTTGTTTACTACTTGTCTTTCCTCATGAATTATGCTGGTCTTCATGAGGTTAGATTCTGGGGAACTTGACCCTAGAAGTGGAGTCCTATTCAGAGGAGGGGCATGCCCAGGGAGTTCAAGGACCCACAAACCTGGGGGGTCCCCGAGACTCTATTGTCTTCTTGCTGCGCTGTGGGAAGTGGTTTGTACAGTGAAAGTGCATGGCCTCTGGAACCAGATCTGGGTTCCAGACATCCTGGCTGTCCTACTCACCAACTATGCGACCTTGAACCAGTGACTGAACTTTTTAGGTTCTGTGTCCTGTGAAATGGAATGCCTGTCTCACAAGATTGTTTATGGGTACAGAGAAGGGATATTTGGAGTTACTGTGGCTGCAGGCCTTGTAAAATTACAGGTTCTGATTCAGTAGGTCTGGGGTTGGGTCCAAGGCCCCGCATGTCTTAGGAGCTCACTAGTGCTGCCAGTGCTGCCGGTCAGTGTCCTCACTGCATGGAAAGGGGAGACGTAGCTATGGTCTCGACCTGGCTGTGTGGTGGCATCACTGGCCCCTGACCCTGCTCTCAGAGGTGCTGATGTATTTGGTATGAGTTTGGTCTGGCTGAGGCCAGTGTGCTGCCAAGGCGAAGGTCCACTGATATGCCAGGAAGTCCCTGCCATGAAATGGTGGTGAGCGCTTGCCTTGCAACACTGCCTTTTGAAGGCAGGCTGCAGGGCTTGGAACAAAACACTGTCCAGCTCCCTTTACCTCCTCCCAATGCAGATAAAGCTGGATGGAAATGAATTCGGTTAAAGGAAAGAAATCTGTTCCTTCTAGAGTTTCTTTTCTGTGTTAGTGTGAGTTTTGGTCTATACCTTCCACAGAAAAATGGAAGTGCTCGAGGTTTGGAGAGAGAATAGTTGTCTGGGTTAAACATCTCACAAAGCTAAGCCATGAGGTAACTGAGGCTGACTGCTAGTGGGGTGTCCTAACCGGTCCCAGCTTAGCTACCAAGGTAGTTCTGTGACTTTGGGCGGATGGCTTCCCCTCCCAGGGCCCCGGTCCTTCATCTGTGAATGGTGCAGTGCAGGGAGAGATGAACCAACTGCTTTCTAAAATGTTCTGCTAGGCAGACTCCCTGTACTGAATCAGGAAACACAGCCTTTGGGGAGATGATAGGATGTAGTAGCAAGGCGTGTACACTTATGGAGTGGGCAGCTGAGGGTTGTTAGGATCTGCTGGTTCCGTTGTCATGAGTCTGCTGATAGCCTTACCTCTCTGTTCTCCCTTCTTTATCCCCAGCTGCCTGACTAATCACTGCTCCTCAGAAAAGGAGAAATCAGGACCCTGGGAGACTGTGTCTGTGTTGCATTGCTCACTCCAAGCTCCACTAGTCTGGAAGCTGGGCCACTGCCTCCTATCTGGGATGCAAATGACTTCCTGTCCTTGTACTTTGGGGGGCTTGGTGCCTGGAATCATCTAACTGTGAAGTCCTGCCTGCCTGCCTAGGGCTCAGGCTAAGATAGATTGTGAGTCACGCTGTCCTGTTGAGACCCCACAGGCTCCCATTCCTCTCCTCCTGCTCAGCCTCATTATACCTGGAAAAGCTTTACTAGGGCCATGTTGGGTGTTGGGCAGGGCCTCTGGAGGTGATTTCTGAACAGTCAGTTGTTCTTAACCAGCATGACTCATTCCTGTGAGCACTAGGATCCAAAGGAGATGCTATTACTCTTGCCCTGGCCCTGGCTTCTGAATGAATGTAACCTTCTGCAATTAGCCAGCTTGAATGAGGTGGGGGATGGGAAGCAGACTAAGCTAAGGCTTCCCACAAAGTGTCCCACAGTCAGCAATAACTAGCAACTCCTTTGTCTGTTGGTTGACTTGTGAATTTATACACCTGCCTACTTCCTTAGTTCCTGAAAGATTTTAGGATGAGGAAGAGCCCATTTCTGGGTGTCTGGAAACCCTTGTGCTAGGGTTGGTAGTCTTGAACACTTCAGTCCCCTTGCTGGGCCTCAGTTTCCTGATCTGTTTGCTAGGAGAAGCTGATCAGTGTCACCTGCTGTTGGATGTGAATAGCCCATATGGTAGTGGGAACGAGGCAGCATCTTTAGTGGAGTTCTCCCCCACCCCTTTAGGGAGGATTTGGGGATGGCTTTATGAAAACTGACTCTCTGAGGGCCGAAGTGGGGTCTCTGGCTAGACGTAAGCATGAACAGAACCACTCCTGGGAGCTCAGTAATGTGTCTGCTCCAGCCAGGCGGCCCCCACCACCTGAGGGCCTGGGACATGGGACAGAAGCTGGCCCTGCTTGGCATCCTGGGTATGTTGACCTCCGTACCCTCTCCTTCCTCCCCAGGACACTGGGGGTTTACTCTGTCAGGGACTTGGGGGGCCATGGCGATATAGCAAGGCTCCTCAGACCCCCATCCAGCCCCCAAGGAGCTTGTGCTCCAATCATAATCTTATTCACGCTGGCAGCACACACACTGCATCCGAGCTGTATACATCCTGTCGCTTATGCATCACAAGAGTCCTTGAGAGGTACACTTCCACTGGGCTCGCTTTGCAGAAGTGCCCGGGATAGAAAGGCAAGAGTGGTGGAAGTCACTGAGCTCTTGAATGTTTGCCAGGAGCTGTGAGTGAAGGGATGCTGTGGAACCACACAAGTGTGAGTTCAAACTCTGACGTTCCAACAACACCTACTCTGCCTACTGGCAAGTCACTCATTCTGCTTGAGCCTGAATGTTCTCATCTGTTACAAGGAGGCTATGCTGGGACAGTGGGAGATGTCATACAGAAAGCTTTTAACTCAGTGCCTGAGACACAACAGACCTTGTAAAATGCTAAACTATGAAGTCAGTAGGGTGACATTGTGCCCCTAAGCCCAGCATCTGCCCCCAGGAGGGTGTCAGGACGATCTGCATCCAGGGTTTCTCAGAGCTGTGAACATGCATAACAGCTATTCCGGGCAGATCCACCCAGGCATCTGTGGGTCACTTAGAATGGTCAGTCTTGGGAGACACTGTGAGGTGATCCTGTCAACTTTTCAGAAAACAGATGTGGGTGGGAGTGGGAAGAGGGTGGGAGTTTACGTGTTAACTTGCCCCAGCAAAAGAGTCGCTTGGGGTGTCTATCAGTGCATTGTACAGGTCTTCCCTGTCGGGGGGATGCCCTAGGCTGGAAGGTAAGAAACCAAGTTCATAGCTCTGGTTCTGCTAATGTTTGGGACAGACTATAAACTGGGAATGAAATTCTCTGTCCAAAGGAAACAATGGTGTGGGTACCAGTCATTCCAGTGGAAGTTGAAAATCAGAAAGGCATGATTTCAGCACCTTGGACAGTGCCACAAAGCCTCTGCCAGGTGCCCTCTTAGAACCCAGGGTCTCACACAGACTGAACCTCAGGTGAACAGGGGAGGGGCAGGGCAGAGTAAGTGGTCAATGACAGAGGGGCTCAGGGCAGCAGAATCCTGGGGTACCTTCATCCTTGTCCTAGCAGTGTCCCTGTGAAGAGGTGAGGACCTTTCTTCCCACCCACTCTGGCTAGAGAAGTAGCTGAGCTGTGGATGAGGGGGCCAAGTGGAGCTGCCCACCCCCTTGTAGATTGGGATCACATCAGTGTTCTCCATGACTCCTCCTTCATGCTACCAAAAAAAGCTCAAATTTCAGCCCTTTGTAACTTTATAACTAGTAAACCCAGCCTCCTGCTAGGCCCTGCCACTCCTGTGTGGTGGCCACACAGAACTCACTTTCTGCAGCAGGGTTCAAACTTTTCTCTCTTCCTAGAAGGCCCTCCCTGCAGTCCTTGTTGCATCTATAAACATCATTCTGAGCTTTTTAGACTAAGACACTTCTTCCCTGAAGCCTTCCATAAATAACTCCTCCCTTCAGAAGTACCCATTCCATCTTCAATTCTCATCTCACCTGGCTCATACTCACAGTTCATCTCCCTCTAGCACTGTACCTTCTAACCACCCCTGCCCCACCATGCCTGCAATGTACCCTCAGCAATAAATGAAATCCTCAATCCTTGGGGAGCAATACCCTTAAGCAGAAGTTTCCAGGCTGACATTTTTAGGAAGGGCAACTTGGCATTTTCCAAGGGGCCTTGCCATCAGGGCTAGGATTTGTTGGCCTCTCTGAAGTTTAGGCAGACAGGTAGCTCAGGGGCCTGGAGCCTCTGTCCTCCAGCACCATCTCTGGGTTCCTCTGGCAATGACACTGGCAATGGTATGAAGTCCTTTTACTCAGTGCTGCACAGAG